GCCTTTGCAACAGGAAGAAGTCTTGGGATATCAAATGATCAAACAAATAAAATAAACAGACACTACTCTTGTGTTATTGTTGAATTGCTTGCTTTTGTAATGACTGATGCGTTTTCTACCTTTGTAACTGTGTTAGAACTCAGTCACAGTTTCGCGCTATGAGCTGCAAATATTATGCACGGTCTGATAAGACTACCCAGTTACCCAGACTGAAAGCCAACTGGTCGAGCTAATAAGCCGAACTGCCATCTCCTATAAGTCAGTTGTCACTTTAAGTGTTAGAGCGGTTTTGCTGGCGATTTGTTAGATTACTGTAAGATTCTTCGGTTTTCTGAATAATTCAAACTTCTGTGTTTTTGATGGAGTTCACAATGCGCCATTGTCTAAGGCAGTTGTTACATTGAAAATTATTCACCAAGGGAATCATTTTCTTTTACTTTTATGGAATTTTATTGCATAAAATTTATATATCCTTGTGCTGTCAAACATTTTTAAAGGTGCATACACATCAGTGGCATAGAAAGGTGGTTGTACTCACCCAATCATGTGATAGAGATATGGAACCTGATACTCTTCAGCCAGACATTCACAAATAGAATCATATCAGTTTTCACTCCCTGAGAGTTACCAACGAGAGTATAGTTTGCCTGTCTTTCCAGATGTGATGATGACTAAGCAAATAATAGACCGATAGGCAGAGAATATTGAATATTCACTGGTAATTAAACTCGGTGATGATAACGCTTTTGTCTCAAATAATACTCTCGACACGGTGAGGAATTTTCAGAATGTTGCTGTTAGTTTGTGTGTCTATTATCGTTTTGTGGCCATTGAAACTTATGAGTTACGCAAGTCTAAATGAACTCAGTGAATAAATTGGTATTCATTACACTTGCCAGTTGGTATGCTGTGTATTGACGTCAATTATGAGTATTACCCTCCTATCATCACCGATTGTTTTTAGTTAAACACACCAGTGATGCCAATTCATCATCCTGCTCCGTTGGCACACAAACAATTGCAAGCACTTACAGGTATAATTTCTTGATTAGCTTCATCCGATATGAAATCCCCCTATGCATCAACTAAAATTCAATGAGATTGAAGTTAGCAACGGTGATAATAACGGTTAGGGATTTAATGAAGGAGAGGGGAAAATTACAAGACGAAACAAAGATCACGTATTCGGTGTTAAGACAGATCAGGTTCAATGACTGAATAAACTTCTTTATGTGGAGTTCGAGACTTGCACTCCCTTAGCAAGATCCTCGCGTACTCTGTAGATGAGTTTAAAGTTAGTTAGCAGGTTAGCTTGGTGTCTAGATTCGTTCAGGTGTTCATGACAAGGCTGTGGGGGATCTTTTTTCTCTTTTATAAAACAATATAAGGGTAGGCGTTCGACGACGTCTGGATAGCAAACGCTGAATACAGCTGACATACCTAGCTCCACAGGAGCAGTTGTGCTGATAGATACACATTAATGAGGGTAGCTTATTCTTCAAGTCCAAACTAACCACTGGTTTTGTAGAGAAAGCTAGTCGATGTTCAGCCGCAAAGGTTTTCCTCAATGTTATTAAGTACACGCGACTACTCAAAGATATCTCTTTCCGCAAATTCACCTCAAAGCTGTGCGGTTATGTTGAGGGTTTATGTATACGATGTGGATTGACAACAGAGGTCAATGAGTGGGACGGACGGTTTCTCAGTATTTCTGTCGATGAGTTTCCACTGAATTGTAGATTCAGATAGAGAAGTCTTTCCGCAGGAAAAAAGGTGGGGGGAGGATCCCCACTGAAATACTTATTCCTAAAATTTTCCGTCATGCCACAGTCACCTTTAAAGATTTCCTCAAGCTTCACAATCCTATGGGCTTTAGGTTCCATCAGAGGCAAAATGACGAAACCGACGAATCATTATTGTGAATCATTCCATCCTTCTTCAAACTAGGAGTTCCTTCTGTCTTCTAGGTAAGTATCCAAAGTGTAAAATACGTAAGGCACTCAGAAGACCGAGTTATAACATGGAAACACCATCACCATCAAATATCATCTGTTCAATCAAATGTAAGAGACTCTGAGCTAATGTAAGCCGAAAGGCGGCTAAATGGAAGTGGCTTCCCACAAGCAGTCATGCACAAATATGGCGATAAAATGAAAAGTATCGGAAAAGTTTCGTCAGGAGGGTTGCGATAACAGGAGAACGCCGAACAAACGGTCAAAACATAGCACCGAAATCGGTGTATTCTGCATCAAAATTAGCCGATCTGCTCCGAATAGCCTTTTTCTTGACACAATCGGAAATAGGCAAACGTCCTTAATTCGTTTAAATTTTAACACACAATGTGTAGGATATGACTCCATTCCAATTAATATTATAGTTGTATTCAATTTAACTTTTCCATTCAGCCAGACTAATCGTCGTCCACGGCTCAACCGACAATGCCTTCCAATACGTAATCTCCCAACGTTCCACCCTAAACATGTATTCGAACACGCTCCCGTCGTCACTGCTCCAGAATTGGTCACTCCTCCGCCCATGAATATGAAACCGTATTTCCCAAAGAATTTCCCCTGCATCACACTCGTTCAACAATCAACACGGCCGTCTAACCCATTATCACTGGTTATGCATCCTATTGAACCGTCACTGAATCAAACTCCACTCCATAACAATCCGTCAATTTCTTCGAGGAACTGGGCTACTTCAGACACAGACGCACATATTCCTTCAGAAGCAGAAATAAGTCATTCTCACAATCTAACTGTAACATCACAACACTCACCATCCTCTCCTTCAAACAGTAATATTTTCTCATTCCTCGAGTGACTTATCAATGTTTAGAATTAATTGATTTTGCTTTCCCAACGGATCCTGTTATTGTGAACCGAGTCCATTTTTCCACATCAACCATACCATCAGTCGCCACTAACTCGACACATCTACAAACCATCAGATGGGAACGGTTACCTACATTCTCAACAATTCCAAAACTTACACATGTGTTAAGCAGCTACTGGCGCGTGAAAGAACGATATATTCTCAATGAATCTTGTGAATATTTCTGATATGATTAATTCTGATTTTATTATCACCGGTATATTTATTGGTCATTTTCTTTAAGAGAACTAGTTCAATGCATGCATTCGTTATTTCTACTTTTATTCACGTTTTGTTATAAGTGACTTCGTGGACAATGTGTTCTGTAACTTTTGTTTTACCTAGATATTTTCAAAACAGTATATTTCAAGGGAATAATTTTATTATAACAAAGATTTTTTGTCTACATTCAACAAGAAGTGTACGAATAAATCACTACCTTAATTGATACCTTACTCATTTATTTTTCATGAGGACTAATGCAAGAAATTGTCTATGTCTCTGGAGTACCCAACCTTATTAGCAGTATAACCACGTTCGTCACATGAAATTATAAATTCACGCTACGAAAACTGCAACTTATGCTTATTCAGTTTGTTAAATACTTATTTGCTCCAAAATATTCGGTGAATTGTCGAAAATAGCAATACCAAGACAGTGAATATGAGAACATCGGAGGAAGTTGCTCTCGATAAATAAAGCACGATGAGTAATGTTAGGGCAAGCATTCAGTGTCATTGAACCAGCTTATAGATTTATGGTAAGGTAGTCCAACAACTGTTTTTGTCGTCAACCTAACGAACATCTAAATACGTGAATAATGTTAAGCGGAAACGAAGAATAGGCTGAATCATAGATAACATGAAGGCAGTTACGATAACACGTCCCGATTACGCTGAAACCGAAACTTGGCATCAGTTCCTGAAATGTTTGCCAGTTAGTTTGAACCACCTAGGGAGGTGTAGATAGTTTGTTTAGGGTCTTCGGGATTCCAAGAACCAGAGACTGGAGACAATTGATGATATGGCTCAATGGCGCAGATTTATTCACTCTTTGTGATCTGACATATCCACTAAAACCCGTCATTTCCCCATGTTACCATCCTTTCTCCTTCACATTTCTGCTTATTATCGTTCCTATGAATCTCTTTTGTATGGGCCACATGGAGAGTGGCAACTCGTACCGTCACGCTTTTGTGTACAGTTCTATCTTGCAATCAGTCAGCTTCATTATGAAGTTCACTGAACTAGTTTAAGTTATATGGGTTACCTGGCTAATATCCACGACATCGGACGTCCTACTTCGAAAATCAATCATACTTGCGTTCTTCTACACATACTATTTCCTTATCTTACCATTCCTTCATTTTCTCTACAGATGTCCCTCTTTTATTTTATCAGCCTATTGATTCCGTCTTTACAACATGTATTTAATATGCGTCTGTAGGCTTATTCCAGAGGAATATCTTGATTCTACAACGACATAACGAGAGCAGTAACTATCCATAAGAAGTTGAGTTTTCTAGTAACGCACTTGCATCTTGTATAATTACGCATCAAAGAGAACTGGAATAGTTTCATGTATGATTTGCATCACTAAAATGGAAGAAACAAGAATAAAGTGTCTCATGAGGACTTCGTCATCCGCTGATATCAGCTGGAAAACAAGAAGTGTTGCATATCAGCCTCATCCTAGCTTAAGACTCCGGCTGAGTGCAACCGAGATCTTACGAGAAATCTGACGCATGACTGTCGGTTTAGGAGGATAGTCTGTTGTCATCTATCCGCTGGGTCGAAATTAAATCCAGATATTCTGAAACTCATTATTACTCCTAAGTATTATGTAAACTAGAGTTAAGTCCTGTCGGTTTTAACGGTATATTGTAGAAATTATTTGTGTGTAATTACACACCACTATAGTGTCCAATAAAACTTAACCATTGAGAATATGCTGTATCTCTCTTCTGCCTTTGACGGAAACAAGAAAAGCTTATCTTCAGAAAATCTTCCTGCTACAGCAATTAAATGGGGAAGAGGAAGTTCACCAAAGGTTACGGAACATGTAAGAAATACTGTTTTCATTTTGGATAGACATATATCTTTTACCACACTTTTCTTCTAGAGGTTAACTATTTGTCTACCCCGGTCATCTTAAACTGACCAATCAATATGAGCCGTAAGTTGTGTGAAACTCACAGAGTTACAGTAGTAAAGCCCATTCGGATGATGACGATTTCCCTTCAAAAGATGAAGATGAAGTCTCCATACCACGCGCGTCTCTTAATAAGTTCGTGAAAGAAATAGTTCCCGATGCGCGGTTAACTACTGAAACCCGTGACCTTCTCCTCAATTGTTGTCACGTTTTTATTCACAAATTAGCCACTGAAGCAAATATAGCATGTTCTAAAGCTAACAAGAAAACGATCAGCCCACAACATATACTTGAGGGTATATGATTATCTTGAAATTTAACTTTATACTTCAGGTTTGGATGCAATGAACTTATCCTCATACAAAGAACACGTCGAACTTGCATGCCAGGAAGCGAAGGAAGAAATAAAAGGTCGCAAAATGCTCAGCGCCAGTTACAGATTCAAGCATCAGGATAGTGAGGAACTGGAAAGGCTGGCGAAAGAACAGCAGGAGATATTCGAGCAGGTAAGTTATCATATTTTACAGTTGTTATCCTTATATGTTTGTTAAATGCCTTGTCAAATATGGTCTTGTTTACTTGAGTTTCTAAAATGGTTTTATGGTCCATAAAATTTATTGCATAATTTCCTCTCATACTCCTATGGGTACTGTAAATTTGTATTTCTTTAGTGCTTCTGCTAGGTAATATCACTTCACCCTCTGAAATATTAAACCTAGTGGTTTTAAAATAGTCTCTTGTATAAATGTGAATTTTCGTGTCTAGCTTGTGTTCAGACTAGATTGGCATGTGTTTATGACACCCTATGGTTAATAGGAGCGCTGTTAATTTCCCAGTTGTCTTCACTCTTACAGTAAAATAATAATAGACTGGTAGACACAAAAGTCTGTTGATTAAATGATGTAATTAGGTATTATTAAGATATGTGATTAGACGTGTCTCCTGTGAACCTTTCAGGGTTCACACGTAAGTAAATATGTTTATGAAAGATTTTCGTATTAGTGTGACACAGTCCAGTTTTCACTACTAAAACAAGCTACTGAACTAAACAAGACTTCCAGCTGTCTTCATAGATTCGTGTTGAATCCATGTATTTAAGTTTCAAAAGAAAAGATACAAGGTATTTGTCTGAGTAATAAATTGTTATTTCTATATGTCATGCTCGTTTTTGATTGATTATGACAACATTCCCGGTACTGCAGTCTTTTGTGCTGTTGTGAAAGTCAACAGCTTGGATTTACGTCTTTTTGTGTATTGTTTTACTCTGACAGATTGTAATAAAATCTGACTAGTGTTACAGCAGTGCATTTGTTAAAGTTTCCACATGATATAAGTAGATTCTAAAAAGGTTTTAGAATATACAGTATTTAGGAAGCTTGTCAATTTATACCTCATTTTGTAAATTGTCAGATCTGTTTTCACTCTAGCTAGTAAGAAATTATTATCTATAAAGAAATTTGATGAATTCATTAAATCCTGCTTTATTAACCTTTATTGCTTGTTTTAAATTCGTATCGGGAAATAAATGTTTTCTATTATCTATAAACCTGAGGATCAAGAAATCTAACGTAAGCGATGTGCATATCAAGCTGGGTAAAATGCTAATTTGAATTTCATTTTTGACTCTATTCGAAAATAGACTGCTCGTAGACACTTCGTCCATTTAAGTCAAACATCGCATGTAAAGATTGCGAGCCACTGATAGATCTGAGTCTCAGCATAAGAGATTCTGGTTGGTATAGTTCTAATCAACATTACTGTAGTCTGCTCTTCTCAGTCTTCAAATAGATGTAGGATTTAGAAATGTCACTAATTTCGTTACTTGCTAAAGAGTTCATAATCATGTGATTTGTGTTGTTTCATTTGGTCAAATGATTTATTATTCAGTAATTTCCGTCTCCTCTGAAGGCTAGGGCTGACTTCATTGGCGAACGTCTGGACAGGGGAGATTTATTAGCAGCTTCAAATTATGCCGCATTAGATTTTGGCAACTACGTGACAGGACCGTCGCAGACTCCCAACTGTTCAGATGTTAATTCTAGAGGCGTTACAACGAATGAATCGTCTACTTTACCCACGGCTACTGGGTCTGGACGTATTCTAGGGTCCGCAGTCATAGGCGATGATGATAACTACGATGAATAAAAACTTACCCGGTGTTTTATTATTACTGTATAAATATAACTGATTTAATAAATTATTATTGTTGTATCATTGTATTATTTCCACAAGGTTAACTCGTACTCTTTGTGTTAGTTACAGATTTATAGTTATATTAGTGGCTAACATGCGAATTATTAACATGTGAACGAATAGTGATTGAAGTCCTTCCTGCAACAGTATATTTTCGATTGGAAGGTTTTTCAGCACTTAACAATCTCGAACAAACTTAAAATCGAATGGAAATGATATATTCACACAATTCTACGTAATCTAAAGAGTAAAGCTGTTCATTTAAGATGCGCTGGTGCTATTTTAAATTTAGATGTTAGACAGGACGATCCACTAAAAATTTTCCTAGTTTTAGTTTGCATTGTAAACTGTTTGTACTGTGAACAGAATCTATACTCGTATAAGTGATAGTCAACTGAAATGAGTACTTCTGAGTTCAATACCAACGCAACTTGAGTATTCTACAATTCAGAATTCTCTTCATTATACTCTCTCTTTAATTGTATAGAATGCAACCAATATGAATCTCGCCAGAATACAATCTAAACAGCTAGGTAATACCAACAGGACTTAACTCTAGTTTACGTAATACTTAGGAGAAATAATGAGTTTCAGAATATCTGGATTTAATTTCGACCCAGCGGGTAGATGACAACAGACTATCCTCCTAAACCGACAGTCATACGTTAGATTTCTCGTAAGATCTCGGTTGCACTCAGCCGGAGTCTTAAGCTAGGATGAGGCTGATATGCAACACTTCTTGTTTTCCAGCTGATATCAGCGGATGACGAAGTCCTCATGAGACACTTTATTCTTGTTTCTTCCATTTTAGTGATGCAAATCATACATGAAACTATTCTAGTTCTCTTTGATGCGTAATTATACAAGATGCAAGTGCGTTACTAGAAAACTCAACTTCTTATGGATAGTTACTGCTCTCGTTATGTCGTTGTAGAATCAAGATATTCCTCTGGAATAAGCCTACAGACGCATATTAAATACATGTTGTAAAGACGGAATCAATAGGCTGATAAAATAAAAGAGGGACATCTGTGGAGAAAATGAAGGAATGGTGAGATAAGGTATTAGTATGTGTAGAGGAACGTACGTATTATTGATTTTCGAAGTAGGACGTCCGATGTCGTGGATATTAGCCAGGTAACCCATATAACTTAAACTAGTTCAGTGAACTTCATAATGAAGCTGACTGATTGCAAGATAGAACTGTACACAAAAGCGTGACGGTACGAGTTGCCACTCTCCATGTGGCCCATACAAAAGAGACTTATAGGAACGATAATAAGCAGAAATGTGAAGGAGAAAGAATAGTAACATGGGGAAATGACGGGTTTTAGTGGATATGTCAGATCACAAAGAGTGAATAAATCTGCGCCATTGAGCCATATCATCAATTGTCTGCAGTCGCTGGTTCTTGGAATCCCGAAGACCCTAAACAAACTATCTACACCTCCCTAGGTGGTTCAAACTAACTGGCAAACATTTCAGGAACTGATGCCAAGTTTCGGTTTCAGCGTAATCGGGACGTGTTATCGTAACTGCCTTCATTTATCTATCATTCAGCCTATTCTTCGTTTCCGCTTAACGTTATTCACGTATTTAGATGTTCGTTACATTGACGACAAAACAGTTGTTGGACTACCTTACCATAAATCTATAAGCTGGTCCAATGACACTGAATGCTTGCCTTATTAATAATCATCGCGCTTCATTTATCGATAGAAACTTGCTATGATTTTCTCACATTCACTGTCTTGGTATTGCTATTTTCGACAATTCACCGAATATTTTGGAGCAAATAAGTATTTAACAAACTGAATAAGCATAAGTTGCAGTTTTCGTAGCGTGAATTCATAATTTTATGCGATGAACGTGGTTATACTGCTAATAAGGTTAGGCACTCCAGAGACATAGACAATTTCTTGCATTAGTCCTCATGAAAAATAAATGAGTAAGGTATCAATTAAGGTAGTGATTTATTCGTACACTTCTTGTTGAATGTAGACAGAAAATCTTTGTTATAATAAAATTATTCCTCTGAAATATCATGTTGGTTTTTGAAAGATACTGTTTTGAAAATATCTAGGTAAAACAAAAGTTACAGAACACATTGTCCACGAAGTCACTTATAACAAAACGTGAATAAAAGTAGAAATAATGAATGCATGCATTGAACTAGTTCTCTTAAAGAAAATGACGAATAAATATATCGATGATAACAAAATCAGAATTAATCATGTCAGAAATATTCACATGGTTCATTGAGAATATGTCGTTGTTTCACACGCCAGTAGCTGCTTAACACATGTGTAAGTTTTGGAATTGTTGAGAATGTAGGTAACCGTTCCCATCTGATGGTTTGTAGATGTGTCGAGTTAGTGGCGACTGATGGTACGGTTGATGTGGAAAAATGGACTCGGTTCACAATAACAGGATCCGTTGGGAAAGCAAAATCAATTAATTCTAAACATTGATAAGTCACTCGAGGAATGAGAAAATATTACTGTTTGAAGGAGAGAATGGTGAGTGTTGTGATGTTACAGTTAGATTGTGAAAATGACTTATTTCTGCTTCTGAAGGAATATGTGCGTCTGTGTCTGAAGTAGCCCAGTTCCTCGAAGAAATTGACGGATTGTTATGGAGTGGAGCTTGATAATGGGTTAGGCGGCCGTGTTGATTGTTGAACGAGTGTGATGCAGGGGAAATTCTTTGGGAAATACGGTTTCATATTCATGGGCGGAGGAGTGACCAATTCTGGAGCAGTGACGGTAAGAGGGGGTCCGAATACAAAGTTTAGTGTGGAACGTGGGAAGATCACGTATTGGAAGGCATTGTCGGTTGAGCCGTGGACGACGATTAGTCTGGCTGAATGGAAAAGTTAAATTGAGTACAACTGTAATATTAATTGGAATGGAGTCATATCCTACACATTGTGTGTTAAAATTTAAACGAATTAAGGACGTTTGCCTATTTCCGATTGTGTCAAGAAAAAGGCTATTCGGAGCAGATCGGCTAATTTTGATGCAGAATACACCGATTTCGGTGCTATGTTTTGACCGTTTGTTCGGCGTTCTCCTGTTATCGCAACCGTCCTGAGGAAACTTTTCCGATACTTTTCATTTTATCGCCATATTTGTGCATGACTGCTTGTGGGAAGCCACTTCCATTTAGCCGCCTTTCGGCTTACATTAGCTCAGAGTCTTTTACAGTTGATTGGACAGATGATGTTAAAATTCCAGTGTTCACCTTCTGGTGTTTCCATGTGATAACTCGGTCTTCTGAGTGCCCTTCCTATTTTTCCCTCCAACGTGAATTTATATCTGCCATCATCGTATATTGGTAGGCATTTTCTGATTGAGTTGTAGAAGACAGACTGAATAGAAGAAGGAAATTGAATACAACTGTATTAACAACTCGAATGAAGTCATATATTGCACAGTATACAAGGAAAAGTAAGTTACACTTTGGATACTTACCTAGAAAACAGAAGGAACTCCTAGTTTGAAAAAGAATGGAATGATTCACAATAATGACTCTTTTTTTCTTCACGTTCCCCAGTGGAACATAGGGCTTCAAGCTTGTGGCTTGAAGTTTCTCTAGCAGTGTTTATTTTACAGGATGGGGTTGCTAGCCTCATGCCCAACCTTTCCTCTTCACTAGCATTATTTCTGGCTAAGTGAGGTAAAGGAGTGCGTCGGCCGGGGTCGAACCTCGGACCATGTGCATGGTCGGCGAGCGTCCTAACCGCTATGCCACCGACGCATTTTGCCTCTGATGGAACCTAAAGCCCGTAGGATTGTGAAGCTTCAGGAAATCTTTAAACGCGACTGTAGGGTGAAGGAAAATTTTAGGAATAAGTATTTCTGTGGGGATCCTTCGCCCACCCTTTTTCCTGCTGAAAGACTTCTCTATCTGAATCTACAATTCAGTGGAAACTCATGGGCAGAAATACTGAGAAACCGTCTGTCCCACTCATTGACCTCTGTTGTCATTCCACGTCGTATACATAAACCCCCGACATAACCGCACAGCTTTGAAGTGAATTTGTGAAAAGAGATGTCTTTGAGTGTTTGCATGTACTTAATAACATCGAGGAAAACCTTTGCGGCTGAACATCGACTAGCTTTCTCTACAAAACCAATGATTAGTATAGACTTGAAGAATAAGCTAGCACTGCTAGCCTCATTTATGTGTATCTATCAGCACAACTGCTCCTGTGGAGCTAGGTATGTCAGCTGTATTCAGCGTTTGCTATCCAGACGTATCGTCGAACGCTTACCCTTATGGTTTTATAAGAGAGAAAAAAGATCCCCCACAGCCTTGTCATGGAACACCTGAACGAAGCTAGACACCGCTAACTAACTTTAAAGTCATCTACAGAGTACGCGAGGATCTTGCTAAGGGAGTGCAAGTCTCGAACTCCACATAAAGAAGTTTATTCAGTCATTGAACCTGATCTGTCTTAACACCGAATACGTGATCTTTGTTTCGTCTTGTAATTTTCCCCTCTCCTTCATTAAATCCCTAACCGTTATTATCACCGTTGCTAACTTCAATCTCATTGAATTTTAGTTGATGCGTAGGGGGATTTCATATCGGATGAAGGTAATCAAGAAATTATACCTGTAAGTGCTTGCAATTGTTTGTGTGCCAACGGAGCAGGATGATGAATTGGCATCACTGGTGTGTTTAACTAAAAACAATCGGTGATGATAGGAGGGTAATACTCATAATTGACGTCAATACACAGCATACCAGCTGGCAAGTGTAATGAATACCAATTTATTCACTGAGTTCATTTAGACTTGCGTAACTCATAAGTTTCAATGGCCACAAAACGATAATAGACACACAAACTAACAGCAACATTCTGAAAATTCCTCACCGTGTCGAGAGTATTATTTGAGACAAAAGCGTTATCATCACCGAGTTTAATTACCAGTGAATATTCAATATTCTCTGCCTATCGGTCTATTATTTGCTTAGTCATCATCACATCTGGAAAGACAG